AAAAGAAAGAATATAAAAAGAGAAAAAGAAATACAATTTAAAAAGACGAAAAATAACACACAAAACGAAAACAAACAGAAAGATAAAAGAAAAAAAGAAAGAAATATAAAATGAAAAATGGGAAGAAAATAAAACGAAGGAATATTTAAAACAAAAGGAAATAAAATTAAAAAAAGACAAAACATAAGAAGGAAGACGAAAACAAGAAAGAAATATAAAAGTAGGAAGGAATGAAAAAGGACATAAAAATAAAGGGAGGAGGAAATAATACGAAGTGGAAAGAAAGAAAAAAAGAAAGAAAGAAAGAAAGAAAGAAAGAAAATTTGAAAAGACAAAAATAAGAAACAAACGAAGAAAAAACGTAACATAAATGAAAAAAACAAAAAGAAAATCAAAAGATAATGAAAGGAAAACTTAAGGACAAATAAAAGAAAAATGAAAGAAAGAAAGGAAGTCAAAATAAATAAAATTTAAAAAGAACAACAAAAAAATAAACATCATACGTAAAAAAGAATGAATCAATAATTAATTAACTTACAAATAAAGAAGAAAAGAAAGCAAATACAAGTATATTAAATAGATAAACAAGGCCCGGTATAATCCTATTAAATAAACATCAAAACAATCAAATAAACACACATACAAAAAACCAATGCCTTAGTCTTCCAAATCGCAGAATAAATTCAACGTGTTCGCCTTGTCTTAAAGTGCTTGTGCACTTCATCATTTCCCTCCCAAGATTTATCTCCCTTTGTAATACCAGCGCGTAAACGAAATCAATAACAAACTCCAAACATGAAATATGTATAAAAAGAAAAAGAAATCCCCAGTCAACACATAAACTATTTAAATAACAAAAGTATATCCTAAAAATGCAGGATGGGTTTATTTTAAGAGCAGCTGCGTTTTTCAGCACACTGACTTCGTGATTAAATCGAAATGAAGGCGGGAGAAAAATTTAAAAAGAGGAAACGGAGGAATTAGTGAACGTCAGAAGAGAATGAAACAAAGAACGAGAGAAGAGAAGATCGAGGGGGAATGGACATCGTTCGAAGAAGTAAATTTATGGCGAATGTCACGTGGTTCTGGCCTGCTTCGTTCAGTGATTAAATTCCTTCAGTTCTCTCTTACTCGATTTTTATTTTCAAACATCGCTCAGTATTTTTACTCTTTCTTTTTTTTTTTGTTTTTTTTTCTTTTCTCCTCTTTTTTTCTTTTCTATTTTTTCTTTCTATTTCTTCCTTTTCTCTTTTCCGTTTTCTTTCTTTATTTTCCTTTCTTTTTTTTATTTACCTATTTCTTTTTTATTTTCTTTCCTCTTCCATATTTCTTTTCCTTTTCTTTCTAACTTTCTTTTATTCTTTTTCTTTCTTTTTTATTTAGGCATTTTTCATTTATTTCATTATTCACCTATTCTTATTTTACTTTTCCTTCCTTTCTTTCTTTTTCATTCCCTTTTTCTTTCTTTCTTTCTGTATTTCTTTCTTTTCTTCTCATTCTTTCTTTCTTTCTTTCTTTCTCAGTTTTTCATTCCATTACTTTTGTTTATCTGCGTTCATTTGGCTTTCCCTGATATTATTCCTTTTAATCTTTTTTATTTCTTAATCTCTTCATCTAAATTAAATGAATTTTTTAAATTTCAAATTTCTATTTCGTTCTTTCAATCTTTTATATCTAATTCGTTTTCACTCCTTTTTCTTTTAAAACTCACAGTTTTTCTTTCTTTTAACGTTTTCATCATTCTCTTTCTGTCTTCTTATTATCTTTCTTTCTCTTTTTCATTTCTTTTTCTTTCTTTCTTTTTCACTTTTTACTCTCTCCTTCCTTAGTCTTTCATCCATCCCGCTTTTCTTACTTTCCCCTTACTTACTTACGTCTAATGAGATTAACATTTTTTTAATGAATTGTTTTCATCCATCTGCAGACCACCATATTTGTTTTTTGTTTTTCTTTTAGTTCACTCAAAAATATATATAACACATAAAAAAGACACCTTTCTTTTCTGTCAAATAAAGGAATCATTCTTTTCAGTTTGAATAAACAAGAACGACTTAGCTGTGGATCTTCTTGTGCTATCAAAAATCCCCACCACAACCTCAAACGTAGAAATGTACAAAATAAATCGTTTCAAAACAAGATTTTCTTACAAGCTAATGACACTTTCTGAGATCGAGTTGATATATAGACGAAGCATATCTAGGATTTTCTTAAATAGGGAATTGGTTACGATATTTGATGAGTTGTTATTACTACTATTACTATTGTTATTATTATTGTTATTACTACTAGTAGTCCTGGGTATGACGATAAACTATATCCGGCAGCTAGACCAATGATCGGGAGAGTAAAGGTTTTGAGAAGCGTGGAACTATCTCTTAATTGCTGTTGTTCCCAGATTCACACTGACCCGGGGTGGTAGCCCCTGTTTGAGCCTCAGCTATGGGTAATTAGTGAACCCCTCAAAATAAAACAAAACACTGTGAAAGTATCAAAATACATTTTATGGTAAAAATACCAGCAATGCATTTTTAGATAATAAAAAAAAAGAATTACCGACAATCCATACTTATAGTAAAAATTACCGACAATATATATTTATATTAAAATGACCAACAATACCTATTTTTAAATGTAATTTTTGATTGGAATTCGAACGCGGCTCTCTGAGTCCTCAATACGAGCCGCTATCCATCGCGCATGTGAATACTGGACAATTTAGACAAGACTTGTTCTAAATAGTGAAATTAGTATTAATCTGTATTGTGACCGAATGTCCTGCTAAAGTGAAGGTGCTCCACAGCCTCTGACAGGAATCGAACCGGTATTCGATTTCCCATGAAGGAAAACACTTTCAAGTGTGACTTATCATTTAGGTCACAGCAAGCCATAGGCCGGTTGACATTAATTTCATCGTTTAAAATAAAAACAAATAAAACAAGTAAGACTACTCAAACAAGTAAACCAACTACATTTAACGATTAAGATTAACAAAAGATGTTTAATTAAAAAACATTAATTGATTAAAATACGTACATACACACGCACTCACATATTCAGACATATTAGTAAATACTTACGTAAATAATACTTAGTAAATTAAAGTTATGTATGCCTAAACTATTTAGACAGAGCAAAAACACTTCACAAGGTCAACACTGAACGAAGGACAACACTAGTTTCTACTCAAGTTTCACGCTCGTGCTATCTTCAAGCCACTATGATTCACATAAATTGTTATATCTATCACTGATATTGAGCGCTTTTCAATAAGTACTGCGCTTATATAATATATAAATAAAATATATAAAATTACACACATATATATATATATATATATATATATATATATATATATATATATATATATATATATATATATATATATATATATGGACAGAGAGAGAGAGAATAATGATGGAGAAGTAACAAATCGGATGACCCAACAAGTTCATTTGGGAATATTCGCCATCGCGCCTATAAACTGAGGCTATTATTTTGATGATACAGTGTCCATGTTGTTCTCGAAAAATGCAACATTGGTGCAATTATGACTTTCCTGATGTAGTCTCAACTTAACTTGGAATAAAAAAAAATTATAGGATCTAAATGAAATAATAATAAAAACGAAAGAATATTAATATACAACCCAGTGTGTCTGAAGATTTTAATTTTTTTTGTTATTTTTATATATATATATATATATATATATATATATATATATATATATATATATATATATATACTGTTAAGGCAGATATATTTATGGATAAAACTGGTAAATATCAGGGATAGAACGCTTGTAAATAAATAAAAAAGTGTTATAAAATCTAACAGACAAACCCAGAAAAAAAAACAGAAAAATAATCATAAAAAATAAAAATTATGGAATTCGACAGACATAATATCAAATCTAAAATAAGTAAATTTCCTCAATATCACACGAAGTAAAGGTACATATCAATCATACAGAAAACACAGCGACACATCACTTTACATACACACATCTTCCAAACACCAATCAACAATGCAGATACAAAAATCAATTAACCGCGAGTTATTTAACACTTCTTCTAATGAAACCATATTCAACGAAGCAAAAAAAAAGATTATGAAACAGTCCTAAAAGATAGTGGATTTTCGGCAACACTCACATATACACCACACAGCTAAAAAAAATGCTAACAGGTAAAGAAACAATCTCTCGTTTATCCCATCGTACAAAAAAGAATGTAAAACAAAACCTGGAAAAATATTAATTAAAGTCATACCCAAGTACTTCCACGCACAAGATTTCCAACAGATACATATCAAAAATCAGTTATAGTTGCACCGAGAATATGAAATAGATAATAAAAAGCACAATAAAAAATAACCATCAAATCACGTACCTAATATAAGCCACTGTAAAATCATCAGAAAACGGTGAAATATAAATATATATATATATATATATATATATATATATATATATATATATATATATTGAATTTGTAGGTCTGATGAATTGATCGTAATTACAATGTAATAAATTATAACCATGGAATATTAGTGTTTGAGCTTTTTATTTTAAATTCTTATTCTGTCCTGGTTATTGAGTTCTACCTGGATTCTATCTTCTTAGGAATATATATATATATATATATATATGTGTGTGTGTGTGTGTGTGTGTGTGTGTGTGTGTGTGTGTGTGTGTGTGTGTGTGGAAGAGGAGGAGGAGGAATTGAAGGACCCGGAAACAGAGAAATTACACGCACAAATCAACCTTGAATAATTCGAAATATAAGCGTTACCACATACCAACAACATTGGGCTGAAAAATAAAACTTGCTACCCATAATGCGCTATTGCACATAATATATAAATATTCAAGCAAAAACACAACAGACATGATGTAAAGATTGATTTCAAGCATTCAGCAGACTGACGACGCTCAAGTTTGATTTCAGTGACCATTATATATATATATATATATATATATATATATATATATATATATAGATATAGATAGATAGATAGATAGATAGATAGATAAAATGTGTACTCTCACCTGATGAGAACGACAATATGCATCAAAAACATAATGCATTCAAGTAGCGGTTTTATGTATATTCGAAATATATATATATATTCGAATATACGTAACACCGCTACTTAAATGCATTTATGGTCTAGGGATGAGAACAGAGTAACGAGGCTCGACAAGATCTCGGGGAAGTGTTAATCAAGTCAAGTAAGGAAACATGTTGGTCATATTTACTAAGGAAATCTACTATTTCACTGAAAGCCTGCGCTACGGAAAAATTGCTAGTCTGAATACCGGTAATATCAATAACATTAAAATACGTTAGCTACTTGTCGTGATACGCAT